TTACTATGGCGACCTCTCCGATGATGGCAGCTCCTGGAATGAATCCACCGGGGAGCCCGAGAACACGAACAGCACAACAGCTTTTTCAGTAACTTCTTTGCAACCGCACTGGTTGTGTTTTTGCTCCTTGGGGTTCTCCGTGCAGCTTTCTTGTTTCAACTTCTCCTACCTAGAAAGAAAGAACGACAGCAGAGAGAGTATACCGTTCTTCTCTAGACTTGTCCGATGGATTTCCCAAGGTTTCTTCCCAGATCTGCAAGCCGGAAATGGTGACGCCAGCGGCTGGGATGTGCTCTGTCTCTCCCCACTTGGAAAGGTAGATTGGAAATTTCAGGCCAAGACTTCCCGCTCTGGCAGAAATGGAGCCAGAGAATCTGCAAGGACTGCCTGTAAGTACAACCTAGAAATGATACTACGAGGACATGTAAAAAAAAAAAAATACCGTGAAAGATTTGACTGGCGTGAAATAAAATGCAAAATAATCTCTGCTGGTGTTAGGCACAGTTCTGTCATTAATAGACTATTGGAATTATAGAGTCTTATAGAACAACAGAGTTGGAAGGGACCTCAGAGATCTTCCAACCTCCTGCTTGAGGAGAATCTACACCATTTTAGGCAAATGGCTGTCCGGTCTCTTCTTCAAAGCCTCCAGTGATGGGGCACCTACAATTTCTGAAGGCAAATCAACAGATCAACCCAAATGTCCTTCCTTTTCTCCAATCATGAGGAAGGAGAATACATTCTGTGTGGCATGAAACCTTCAGTTCCTAACAGACCACAATTCCATGCAAATCACTGTGGTTGGTTCCAGACATTTTTTTTTCCTAGTGTGGCTTGCATTTTTTTTTTTTTTTTTTAGCAAGCATAAGAACTGGAAATTTGTTTTCTTTCTACTATCAGCACCAAATCCTTTGGTGGTTTTTTTCACTCCCGTAGTTGTGCAATCTGTACAAACTTGAACGTCGGTAGCTCCCTCATCCTGTAAATGTTTCCGTCTAAACGAAGGGTACCCCTTGATTAATTGGGTATTTTATAGTCAAATCTTGCAAGCATGGGTGGCTTTTAAAGATCCTGTTTTCTGAAAAAATGAAAAAGTGGGGAAAGGATGGAAGGCATTATAATAGTGCCTTTCAGAGTCATCGGGTACAAGCCGGGTGGCGAATAAATTTTGTAATAAATAAAATAAACAAATAACAGGATAGTGAAATTCTATCTGCTGTGAAGGGACGATAAGATAGGCTAATATTTTGTGCTTTGCACAGTTATGTAGAATTATGCAGAAACATATTGCTGGATGGAATCTTGGAGGTCTTCTGTTCAAGCAACAGACCCTATGCCATTCCAGACAATGGGTGTCCAATCTTTTCTTGAAAACATACAATAATGGAGCACCCACAAATCTGGATGGCAAAGCTGTTCTATTGATTAATAATTCTCACTGTCAGGAAGTTTTTCCTTCGTTCAGGTTGGATCTTCTTCTGGTGATCTTCCATCTGTTGCTTCTTGTCCTGCCTTCAGGTGCTTTGGAGAATAGCTCGACTCCCTCTTCTTTGGGGCAGCCCCTCAAATATTGGAAGACTTTTATCGTATCATGTACCCCCCAATCCTTCTCTTTGATAGACTGAGTCACACCTAGTTCTCTCAAGCGTTCATCATACAGTTTAGTTTCCAGATCTCTTATCATTGTTCTTCTCGGCACTCTTGACATCAGATTAAACATATACACAAGCACACCTTCTGCAAAATAATGCTATGGAAAGTAAAATCATGATCAGAAGAGAGCTGGAAGGGACTTTGGTAAAGCTGGAGACTCTATACCATTTCAGACAAGTGGCTGGCCAGCCTCTTCTTAAAAACTTCCTGTGATGAAGCACCTACAACCTCTGAAGGCAACCTGTTCTACTGGTTAATTGTCCTCACTGTTTGGAAGTTTCTCCTTAAATTCCAGGTTGTTTCTCTCCCTGATGAGTTTCCATCCATTATTTCTTGTCCTGCCCTTCTGGTGCTTTGGAAAATAAATTGACCCCATTACCCCATACTCTTTGTGGCAGTCTCAAAAATACTGGAATACTGCTATCATGTCACCCCAAGTCCTTCTTTTCTCTAGACTAGACATAGCCAGTTCCTGCTATTGTTTGTCATGTTTTAGTCTCCAGGCCTTTAATCATCTTAGTTGCTCTTCTTTGCACTTTTTCCCAAAGTCTCAACACCTTTGTTACAAACAAAGCTTTGAAAACTGGATTTATTTTGATGGAGCATCCCGATTTCTATAATGGCAGACCAAAAAGAATAGAAAGAAACTTAAAAGCAAGGAAAAAGTGAATCTGATGAAATGTAAATATATATACCAGGATAGATAGATAGATAGATAGATAGATAGATAGATAGATAGATAGAT